CTGATAATTATGCTGAGTTTAGCAGGAGAATGTTCTTTGTCAGGGTGCCTGGGTGGCTCAGACAGTTAAGCATCTGCCTTTGGCTCAAGTCATGATCCCAGGGTCCTGTGGTCGAGCCCCATGACCGGCTCCTGGCTCAGCAGGGACCCTGCTTCTCCCTCTGCTCATGCTCTCTCTCTCTCTCTCTCTCTCTCTCTCTCTCTCCCTCTATCTCTGTGTCTTGAAAGAATAAATAAAATCTTAAAAAAAAAAATGTTCTTGGTCTTAGGAGATACACGATGAAGTGTTTACAGGTGAAGGAGCACTAATATCCGTCACTTGTTTTCAAACAATAAGAAAAAAATAGAGAAAAAACAAAGGAAGCGCAGAAACTGTTAATAATTTGTGATTCCAGGTGAATAGTGAACTTGTGTGTTCACTATTGTTGTCTTTTGATTTTTCTGTTGGTTCATCTTTTTAAAATAAAATTGGTTAGAGAAGTACAAAACCCACGGATACCACTACGTACCTATTAGAGTGGCTAAAATTTTTAAAAATTAAAAACCAGCAAGTACTGTTGACAATATGGAGAAAGTGGAGCTCTCATACATTGTTGGTGAGAGGGCAAAATGGTATAGCAACTTTGGCAAACGGTTGTTTCTCACAGTTAAAAAATGGATTTACCAAGTGACTCAAAATTTCTAGCTGTTTACCACAGACACAGAAACTTATGTTCACATAAAAACCTATACATCAATGTTAATAGTGACTTTATTCATAATCACCAACAAATGGAAACAATGCAAATGTCCCTCAACTGGGAAAGAGAGGGATACACTGTGATACATCCATACAATGGAATATTGCTTAGCAATAAAAGGAAACAAACTACGGATACACACAATAACATGGGTGAATATCCAATATATTATGCTAAGTTAAAAAAGCCAGAGCCAAAGGCTATGTATGGTATAATTCCATTTATAGGACAGTCTGCAAAAGGTAAAGTGTAAGGACAGAAAACAGGTTAAGAGGTGGACTAGGGGTGGAATAAGGAGTTGGCAACAAAGACACATGGAGGAACTTTCTAGAATGATAGAATTGTTCAATACTTTTTAGTGGTGGTTACATAACAATATGTGCTCAGGACTATACGCTAAAGGTGGTGAATTTACTGTATATTTTAATAAAAATTTCTATTAATTTTAAAATTAAGTAAGTAAATGTTATTTAAAAGGTCATGTCACTCCTCTCTCCAAAACCATGCAGTGGAGCCTTACCCGGCATAAACAGCAGTCATTGCAGTAGCTTCCCAGGCCCTACATCATCTGGCATCCTTTTAGCTCTCTGATCGCATCGGGTACTTCTCTTCTCCTCCCTCCAATTGTTCCAGCCACATTGGCCACTTTACATTCCTGAAACCTATCAAGCGTGTTCCTGCCTCAGAGCTTTTGTGCCCTCTGCCCTTCCCCCCAGAAAGCTATGTAACTTGTTTGTTTACTCCAATGTTACCTTTACAGTAAAGTCTTCTTCATAACCTCAACTTACACTGTTACTCCTTTTCTCCATGTTACTTTTCACTATCAAGCATACTGTAGGGGCGCCTGGGTGGCTCAGTCGTTAAGCGTCTGCCTTCGGCTCAAGTCATGATCCAGGGTCCTGGGATTGAGCCCTGCATCGAGCCCCACATCGGGCTCCCTGCTCTGCGGGAAGCCTGCTTCTCCCTCTCCCACTCCCCCTGCTTGTGTTCCCCTCTCTCGCTGTCTCTTTCTCTGTCAAATAAATAAATAAAATCTTTTTTTTTAAGATTTTATTTATTTATTTGACAGAGAGAATGAGAGAGAACACACGAGAGGGGGGAGGGGCAGAGGGAGAAGCAGACTCCCTGCTGAGCAGGGAGCCCGATGCGGGAATCGATCCTGGGACTCCAGGATCATGACCTGAGCTGAAGGCAGTCGCTGAACCAACTGAGCCACCCAGGCGCCCAATAAAATCTTAAAAAAAAAAAAATACTGTATATTGTACTTTTAAATTTATTTCGTCCAGTTTCTACAGCACATGCACCCACAACAGTGTTTAACATATAGTAGTACTCACTATTGGTTGAATAAGTGAGTTGAGATATAATGAAAGAGCCATTACTTAATGAATGCTCTGCGCTCAGTATCACTTGCATACTTTTTATAACGCACTAAAATCAATCTTACCATAATTATTAAAGAAGTGGACCTTTATTCTAATTCCACTTTTATGAGAAAAAAAGCAAGGAAAAAGAGTTATTAAGAATGTATTTGTAAAAACAGGTATCAGCATTTCCTTAGAATGAACACAAATTCATCATTCATTCAACATAAATCACTTAGATCTAAAATCACTTAGATCTGATATGGAACAATAAGCATTTGATCTTTCTCCTCTGTGAAGCCTTCGTTCTTATCTCCTTTCAATTGCTGGGCCCTCAGAGTCCATTCACCTTCAGCTTTCCACTAACAGCTCCATGTTTCATGCACACTGCAATTATCACATTAAATTTTATTTGCTTACAAATATGCCCCTTTCAGCAAATAAACTACTTGATGGCAGGAATCTTAAGGTTAAGAAAAGTTAAATGATGTGTTCTAACTACTTCGCCTAGCACCAGGCACAAAGAAGTTTAATAAAGTTTCATCGAGTTAAATATAAATGAGTTGATTTTTGAAGTCATAGATTTGAAGGCTTCAGAATTGTGAATCATCGAAGAAATGCCCAATTGATTATGCTATCCAGTTGTAGATACAGGTGTAGATATGGACATAGGCATAGATATAGATACTTTGAAAAGAGTTTTGCTGACTATCCTGAAACTACAGAACTGACTTTGTTCAGGAACTCAAACGCTATCTGTAGAGATTTCTGGTCAATCAAAATTTTAGCAGACTTAATCTTAGGTGTGAGTTTCCCTTTTTAAGGAAACTTTGAGGAAGGGAAGACATGGGACAGAATCTCGATTAGAGAAAAGTAGAGCATAAAAGGGTAACAATGAAAAAAAAATACGCTGCAGGAATTCTTATGAGAAAGCAATGAGCAAGGCAATGGAGAAAACTTACAAACCACTTTACACCTGGGACAACTTCACTGGGATTATCAAAGTTTCTGCTTTGACAGAGATAGGATTCTGTAAGAAGGTATATGTTTCAACTACTGAAAAGTCAAAAGTCAAGGATAAAAGAAAAAAAGAAATTTGAGTCGCAACTGCCCTCATTGTGGTTCAACCTTTATAATAGCTTCCTAATTGGTTTTTCAACTTTTAGACTCTCCCCAATAGCCTGTTTAAACTGTTTTCAAATTGATCTTCCTTTTGCAGAGTTGCAGTGATGTTTCTCCAACGCTCAAAAACCATAAAAACCAAGCCACATTTCCTGAAGGACTCCACCTAAACATCTTTCAAAACACGACCCTTTTATAGTATGGTCTCAATGCATATTTTCAACAGCATATTGCATGAGGCCTCTTTTTTTTATTATGTTAATCACCATACATTACATCCTTAGTTTTTGATGTAGTGTTCCATGATTCATTGTTTGCGGATAACACCCAGTGATCAACGCAGAACATGCCCTCCTTAATACCCATCACCAGGCTAACCCATCCCCCCACCCCCCACCCCTCTAGAACCCTCAGTTTGTTTTTCAGAGTCCATCGTCTCTCATGGTTCATCTCCCCTGCGATTTACCCCCGTTCATTCTTCCCCTCCTGCTACGCCCACATAGTACAGGAGCCAAAATAGACTATTCATTTATTCTTAAGTCATACCCCATAAGTCCTCCCTCTATTCCTTTGTTCAATCAGCTCCCTCCTCCTGGAGTGTCCACTCCTCACGCTACCTTTTAACAACCTTCTCAATGGACTAACCATCCAGTTATCTTACACAGCCTTTCACAATCTCGATTCTGATGGCTCTCTCTCTCTCTTCTCTGACCCATCGTGGGACATTACACCTCCCTAAAAGGTCCCAGATTATACCACTGTTGTTTACACATTTCTCTTATTCCTGCCTTCTTACCCCACTCCTACCTGGTTTTATAAAGTCTGACACTAAGCTCTCGTTACTTTTATTTACTACAGGTAATTGCACAGAGCGTTTTCTACATCATGTGCTCAATCAATGTTTTATGATTTATAAAGTTGACTAAATATTATGAGAGACACTGTGGAATCACAATTGTTGATATGCTCAGCAGCCCAAACTGAGTTTAGGCATCCTCGAGAAGTTTTCCAGAGATCTATTACAGGGATCTGTAAGAAGACAATGATGCCTTGTTTTCATTCCCAAATCCCTAGAGGCCAGCATCCTACACAAGTGCTGGAACTTAAACTCCTGAGGGGAATCAAATAATTCAAAAGGAGAGGGTTAGTTTTTTTGTTGGAAGCTTATGGAATATCAATTTAAAGGTAGTATTTGAATATTCCAAGTGTTCTAATCAAGATATATATTTTATTATTCCACTACTGTACTTTCATTCTCTTAAAGAAATTAAGTCACACAGATTTAACCAAGTTTGTTTTTTAAAAGGAGAAAAGTTAGAATTCAGAGTGCTTCAAAGGTCAATGTTCAGAGGAAATTAGATAAGTACAGGGTGTTTTAGTCCTTGATTCTGTTCATATCATAATGGGAAAACTTGTAGCTCTACATGATGGTTCAGAGATTAATAATAACTCTGCTGTCTATTCATATTTTATAAATATTTGGAAGTAATCTTACATCGGTATCTGAATATTAAAAATACAATTTTGTCTGAACATACAATATAGTTTTATATGAATCATGCATATAAAATAGTACTATTAGGAAAACTGCTTTATAACATGGTGATTACCTGCTTTAAAGGAAAATAGAATTTTAAAACAGTAAGGCTGATTTTAAATTGTGCGTAGAACCAGTAATTGTGTATTTAAGGCAATTAAAAGATTTATTGAATCTTGGTTAAAAGTAGATTGACAATGACATTAAAGAATAAAGTATAATTTATTTGGTGCTACCTTGTGAATGCTTCTTAACATCTCACGATACCATATACAATATACTTCCAATCACAACTCAAACATAAAATAACCTACAAAATCACATGGCTATAATCAAGATACACTGATTATATTTTTAAAAGAAAGAAAGTTAGCAATTAATTAAGGTGCAGTAACTTTTTTCAAATAAAATATTAGCACCATACCAGATAAAATGACCTAAAACTACTGGCCTCCTCCTATTTCTTAAATAACTAAATATAAACACTTTTCTTTCAAAGCACAAATATTAATTTGCAGAATCAGTTCTACAGTAGTTAATATTTCTCTCTTTTGTTGCATTTTTCCCCCAGGAGGGAAAAATATGAAGTAAAAACTTTCACAAGATCTGAAAATCAAATAAGTCTAACCAAACAAAAGGTTGTCCTTCAGCAATGAGTTCCCACAGAAGCAAACGTGGACATTTCCCGGCGTATGGTACTAAAAGGTGAGAGTTCAAGTTCTGTGGTATATTCGTTGTCATTGTCGTCGCTGGTCACCGTTGAAGACTTCTGAATGCACTCATCACAGCAACAGCAACAGCACTCCATAAACGCCCGGCTGAAGGGTTTGCAAAGACAGAAGAGGAGGACAGGGGTGACACAGGACTTAAAGAACAAAAGGAACTGGCTGATGATATAAAGCAAGTCCATTGTCTGCTGAGAAACCCCTGTGGCCATGTAAGCAGTAACAATGTTGCAGATATTTTCAGGAATAATGCAAAATCCATATAAAATGGTCAGAGCCACTACTGTACAGTTCATCTGGCTTTCTAGCTGAATCTGTCGTTTATTCCCCCGGGTACAGGCTTTCTCCGCTTTGCGGATTTTCCTTGCAGTTACCAAAGAGCAGGTGATGGTGAAAAGTGTGGGCAAACAGAAGTAACAGCCAAAGTACCACCAGAGTCTTGCACTGTCATAGGTAAGGGCTAAAACATAGATGGTGTCCGGTAAATCTGGGGAGACCTTGATAACGCAGCGTTCCGCAGGAGCTCGGCCACTAAACCCCAGATCCTCCTTGCTCAGCTGGCGGAGAACTACTTCTGGAAGCGCCAACAGTAGGGCACCAACCCATATAACAGCAAGCTTGGCAGTTGTCGAAGAACAGTTCTCGATCATTTCATAGTACATCTGCACATTCGTGGCTGCCCGGAAGCGGTCTATACACAGAGCACATAAGGTGAAGGTAGTGACTCCGAGGGAAGCGACCTGTGGGAGGAACACAGAACACATTTATTCTGGGTGATCTCTAAAAGATCAGAACACTAGGCAGTAAATACAGATCGGCAAAACAGGAAAAAAAACAACAACAATTTCCTGGAATGAGGCATGGGTAACTGGGTTGGTGACTTGAGCTGAATTATTATAAGATAAAAATAGGAGAGGAAAATAAAGAAATGCAGTGGTTCAAGGGTCATGGAGTCAAAAAATTTTACAGCTGAAAGGATCCATAAGGATCAGCTAGTCCAATACCACTTTATTTTAGAAAAGAGCAGAGACACCTCAAGAATTTCAGTCACCACGAAAATGCCGGCCACCAGAAGATCCAGATAAGGAGTAACGATAGTTGAATGTATATCCCATTTTCATTACTGAAAAGGATAGTCATGTTTTCCAGTGTGCAGGTCAACAGCATGCCTCACACATAGCAAACATTCAAGAGCTTATTAATTCCAACAAATGAGTAATGATCTCCTCCAATTTCTCCTAAATGCAAAGTATTTTAATATTATTTTCAAATGCATACACTTGTGGAAAACAAGAAAGGGAAATTCTCCAGGGGTCAAAATCAATGAAAAAATAAATGCCAAACAGGTCAGTGACGTCCTCCCCTGCCCGCCCATGTTGCATGCTTGCCCTAGGGACATCTCCCAATCCTGATGAGAGTTTCAAGCTGGTTTTAGCTAGGTGGTGGGGCAGGTGCCCAAGTACACAGAGGCAGGAAACAAAGCTAGAGCCAGTGTACGTGGGGATTAGGTCAAAGATCCTCTTATGAATTGGGAACTCCCCAAACAGTGACATCTTCATGGGTATAAAGAGGAAAAACAGAGGGAAATCGAAGAGAAACTTGTCGACCTTATATGATTTGGATCTAGGTGAACTGGAGATAAAAAAAAGAAGAGCAAATTCTAATCAGGAGCTCAAATTTACACTGGCCTAAGGCCAGAATTCACACCATCCGTGTGGCTCAGAAAAAAACCAAATTACAATTTTAAATTGTTCCAGGCACCTGGTAGAAGAAAACACAAAACCTCTCTGGAAGAATGCACTTTAAAACCAGGCCTCAGAAATCCACAGATAAAATTTGAGGGAACATGGATTCACAATTAAAAATCACAATATGCAAGAGACAATCCACCACTATGAACTTATGTTGCCAAAAGAAGCAACTTACTGGATCAGGCAGGCATAAAATAAATACAGTTATCATGAATTAAGTTCATTTATCAAATTTAAGGTTATAACCTTAACCATACTGAAGGAATGTCAAAAGATGGGAGATATAAAAAATAAACATGAAAACATGCAAAAAGGAGCCAGAAACAATGTCTAGATGTACCAGCCAGAGGAAAATTTCAGATCAGAAAACCCTTTGATGCTGACCACATAGAGCACTGCATCCAAACTCTTATATGCATATGGTCCTGACATCTAAATAAATCAACAACTAAAGGTTAAGAACCAAAAATATGTACATATTTTTTTCACACAGAGAATATAATGTAAACATACTATCATTCAGTAGCCTGTAAAATATTCACAAACATCCTACACACTCTCTAATGGGTACACAAACATGTATTCAACACAAGCATACATTTATTGCTATGGACTCTGGCCCAAGCACTCTTTTAGATATTGGGGATATACAACAAGAAACAATTATTTCCCTTAAGGAGGTCATAGTCAACCAAAAGGGGGAAGGTAGTTCTCAAAGGCACAAGATAAACACAGTAATCATCTGGGAGCATCAAATTTACTCAACTATTTACAGGAAATTGAAATAATTTAATTTCTAATAAATGTAGTCATTATTTATATATTTAAATAAAGACCGTGAGGATAGAAGGTAAAATGTTCATGAGGTTTAAGATGAAACAGGAGATGAAAACTCTGTAGGTGGGAAGGATGTCATTTGGGGTGTACCCTAGGCTCTCGGATATGTGCACTCACTCTGCTAGTGGGCATGTTTAAGAAGTACACAGCTATAAGTCATGCCTTGGCAAAGGGGCAAGGGAACATATATATATAATGTTCCTGTCTAATTTGTTAGAACTCAAAGGAATCATGTTGAAAAAAGGAAAACCATTTGTCATAACAATTTTGACACTCAACACATTAGTTGTTTATCTGCTACATTCAAGCTGTCACTCTTCCCAGAATGATGGCAACTTGCCTTATGGATTCTATGAGAGTTCCAATGTCAAACGCTCTCCCCTTTTTTACACGCTAAACATTAGTCAGTGTCTACTGGTTCCACTATGGAAAATAAGGACATCGCATCCATGCCCTGACTATTCTCATTATCTCTTAGTGGAGACAGTCTGAAAATGAGATATAATGAGGGCTTAAGTGTATGAAAAGCAAAACTGAAGAAAAAGTATGACTCATAATCTAGATCAGGGCAGATCAAGACGACATGGTTGAGCTTATAACCATGATTCTTGTACAAAATCTTCAGAAAGTTTCCCATAAATACCAGTAAAAGAAATATCCATCCAATATGACTGTCATAAAAAGGCATCTCTCCATACACCTTTTTATTTTTTCTTAAAGATTTTTATTTATTTATTTGAGAGAGAGAGAGAGAAAGAGAGCACGAGTGGGGAGGAGGGGCAGAGGGAGAGGGAGAAGCAGACTCCCTGCTGAGCAGGGAGCCCAATGCAGAACTCGATCCCAGGACCCCGGGATCAATAACCTGAGCCAAAGGCAGATGCTTTATTGACTGAGCCACCCAGGCACCCTCCATACCCTGTTTTAAAATTAACTTTCAAATTAACAAATTGTTCACCTTAATGGAAATTTATTTTGCCTCTATGCCAGAGATTCAAAATAATTCTAAAATTGAGGTCCACACTATGCAACTGTCTTAAGATCAGATTATTACTTTTCTTAATGTCAGTAATTGCCACACTTTGCATGGAAGTCTGAGGACTGGCTATTTTCTAAAAGTCTGCATCAAAAGTATTATTTAGAAATTGCAGTATTTTATTTTATGGCTTTTTGAAACTTCACATTTATATATTTTTCAAATATTTTGATTCATTTCTCTATAAGAATGTAAAACAAAACAAAAGAATCCTCAAACTATCAAATGTACACAAATCCTCAGCAAGGCTTTCTGTGCCATCTTCACTAACGTAAATCTTTGTGCATGTGTCCCTGTCGCCCATATATCCGGAGTCAGTCCACAAATAACAAAGCTACAGAGCTTTATGCAGTGCATTCTCTTAAAATTATCAATAACATTTCTACTGACAAAATGGACAAAATACTAGAGAGTCTGATGAGAGGCAATCTCTTAGAGGCTTAGCACATCCATTTCTTGGTAGTTTTTGATCATTATTTACAAAGAACACACAACACTCAAGAGATAGCATCTTCCCCCCCAATTAATCCCCTTAATTTTAAACACAGAGATTTAAAATCTGGACCAGGGGTGCCTGGGTGGTTCAGTTGGCGAAGCGTCTGCCTTCAGCTCAGGTCATGATCCCAGGGTCCTGGGATCCAGCCCAGACTGGGCTCCCTGCTCAGTGGGGATCCTGCTTCTCCCTCTGCCCCTCCCCCTGCTTTTGCTCTCTCCCTCTCTCTCTCTCAAATATATAAATAAAATAAAATCTTAAAAAAAAAATAAAATCTGGACCAATTAGCACAAGAGCTAGCATTTGCATACCTACCTCCCAGTCTGTTACAAAGCATTTCATGAGAGGGAAGAGCCAATGAATGCGGGTGGACATGTATTAAGACAGGTGTATTAGACTGCCTCTCCTTAGATATTTATAAACCATGCTGCACATCCACTTTTAATTAGAAGATGTTTGCTGCTTCAAAAAGCAAAAAATGTTTTCTAGGTTCTGTATATTTCACTGCACATGATAACAAAAGCCGGGGAAAATTTTAAGCAAGATTTAAATCTTTTTTTTTTTTTTTAAGATTTTATTTATTGTTTTGACAGAAAGAGACACAGCGAGAGAGGGAACACAGCAGGGGGAGTGGGAGAGGGAGAAGCAGGCCTCCCGCGGAGCAGGGAGCCCTATGCGGGGCTCGATCCCAGGATCCTGGGATCATGACCCGAGCCGAAGGCAGACGCTTAACCAACTGAACCACCCAGGCGCCCCTTAAGCAAGATTTACATGTGCTCCAACTTTCGCTCAGGAATTCTACATTGTACTTTATCTGAAGATGCTTAGTTCTTCAGCTGTGTTCCCAAAAGCTTTCGGACTGAGCACCAAATGCGTTTGAAAGAACGTATTTGATCTGTAGTCCTCTTGACGAATCACAGATTGAGGGAAGATTCCTAGGGTTCCTACACACATTGCAGGTACCCAGCTTCCTGTTGTCCAATCGTACTTCTCTCTGATCGTGTTCTCCTCAATTAGGAGCCAGCTGAGGCAGGAAGGTCACAAGAGCTGGGGCCTCGGAGGAAAACGCTGCCCCAAATGCAGATAGCGCTTACTACATAGTTGCCAACAGCAACCGCCCGAAGGCCAGTCCTGGCTACCTCCTCCCTCCTGCTGCCACATCCTGCAGTGTTATTACTTCAGATAGGTTTCTGTAAATTCACTTCTGCACTTGATTTTATGATGTGAAAGAGAAAGAAAGGTACAAAGCTCCCGCTCAGAACTTTCCCAAATTATTTATAGAAGGCTTTAAACATTTGTCAAGAATCAACCTCAGAAATTAATTGATAAAAATCATCTGGATCATGAGTGGTGGGCTAATTTCCTCTTTCTCTGACATAAAATCTATCCATGCAATTAAGATTGCTAAACATTGGGGTAACATGAAAAGATTTCAATCACAATTTTTAAATATATGTGTTTACTTACAGCTCATTGGAAATTCTACCAAGATGAATGGTGCAATGATATGCAATTATAAAACTGTGTCATAAATGCCAGATCTTCTGCATTTAATGACCATATCTGATTGCTAAAATTCAACGTCACTAAGAAATTTACTCTTGGGAATAAAATTGGTATGGGGTA